ACACACACACACACACACACACACACACACACACACACACACGGAGGCTTCTCGTTTATAAAATGAATCCTGTCACATAACTAATAAAATCTAGCTTCAGATTTTATTATTTAATTAAGAAATAGGATTATAAGTTCTGCACATGTATTGGGGTGGTCGGAAATACAGGCTTATCTCTTTGTTTATTCCGCTGATTTTTCTGAGCTACAGCAAACCATGTGAGTGCCCCCAAATGTGCTGGGTCATAGCAATGACCTGGGGCACTTCTGCTTTTGTCTGTGTAGGGCCCAGCAACCTGTATTTTTATCTCATTCCTCAGGTGTCTCCCATGATTCTGATGTCTAAGTCCTGGCTTGACTGGCCTGCCTGTGGCTGCTCATGTCCCAGTGACAATGGGTATTAATACGCTGAAAGATGTTCAGGGTCTCAGCACTTCTCATGCAGATCTGATGAGGATGAGTTCTATTGAACTATAACTTGTCCATCACTGACCTCAGAGGCTGGAGAACTTGCTCTGATACAAGCTTTTCCCCTTATCCTACTTTCCTCCTTGACTGTAGATTTATGGTTGTTTCTAGGCTCATTTTCACCTGTTTTCTTCCACCTCATTTCTATCACCTTATAGTCTGTTGGCTTTTACTACAGCTTTACAGCTATTTCTACAGTTTCTTAAAAGGTAATTTCTGTGCTGGAAATGTGGCTCAGTGGTAGAGCACATGCTTAGCATGCTTGAGTTGATTGCCAGTACAGCAAAACAAGATAAACTTTATTTATTTCAATATATTTGAAGATTAAAGCAATCGTCTCAGGCACTGTATCTGATACCTCTTGAACTGTGTGAGGCTAAGATAATCTCCATGTTTTTAAGACTTAGGCTGCTTTTCCAAGTTGACATTGGCATTATCTTGTTCACTGACTTCCGGTGTATATCGAGGCAGAGCAGTCTGTGTAGATAGTGTACTTAGAACATTTTGACACACATTACAAGTGTTACAGTGCCAACCATGGAGAGCAGCTGTTATTACACTGACCCACCATAAAAAACATTACAGGACACAGCTGCTGTGTGCAACATGTAGGTGCATATTGGAGATTTGAAGAAGTATATGTCCTCATCCTTGTCAATTCTAGCTGCAAGCTGAAACATGAACATGAACAAAATTCAAAATAAAATATGTCTTACAGAACAAGATTGTTTGTAAAATGAACGAGAAGGATTCCCAAAGTAAGATATATCTTAGACGCTTGCGTCAGATGTATTCTACGTCCCTTGCTAACATGGAGTTCTCCAGAAAGTAAGTTCCACTGAAATACACAGTATGTATCCCACTGTTCTTGTCAATTTCCGAAGCAGTTCTGGAAGTCCTCTTTCTCAAGTGTCTAGTTGTGCTGTCCTGGCTGCACGACTGGATCAATGTCCTAAATCAATTTAAAATGTTTATCTTTTATGGCAATTTTGACTTTTAGAGAACAGCCTGAAATTGCATAGTGTTAGATCTGATGAATAAGGTGGATGAGGACACATTAATGTTTTTACAAATCTGCCTCTCCATTGGATGGCATTTGGTAACAGTATCCACTGTATTTTTGTCCACACTTCCTAAGACATGAAAGAGGACGTCCAGGACTGCTTTAGAAAGTGGCAAGAACATGGGAAGAAGTGTGTTTGAAGTGAGGGGGAGTTCTTTGGGGGGATTAATGGCATTGTGTCTTCTATTATAATAATTTTTAAACAGTTAAACATTCACCATATTGTTAAATTGTTTATTAATGCATTTTTCCCCTACAGTGCTGGGAACGTAATCCAGGGCCTTTTGTATGCTAGGCAAGCACTTACCACTGAGGTGCACACACCCTTGTCCCTTAATGTGTATTTTATTTACTTATTTATTTTAAATTAATTTTATTGGTATATTTTTGACATACATAATGGTCACATTCATCATAGGGAAATTGTACTGTACATAATATATCTTAATTCTCTTTTTTCCCATTCCCCTTTAACCCTTCTTCCCCTCTATTCACAAAACTTGTTTTTATTGTTTTCTTTCCATTCCTTTGTATTTTCTTTATCTCCATTCCCTTCTGCCCTCCTTCCTCTTCCCTGTTCCCCTTCCCACTTGAGTATTTTCTCCCTACTTCCCCTATCTGCCCGTCATTTTGGTCCTTATTTACCCTTTGGGTTTTTCACCCAAGAGAAACAATGCAATACTTAAACACGTGTGTCCGATTTCTTAATGTGCATTTTAAATATGTCTTTTCACAGTTATCTTCAGTCTTTGCACAGGGAAATATTAAAGAATTGCTATCATACCAAATGGTCTTTAAACTTTCTTAGAAAAATAAAACAGAAAAGGTCATCACAAGAACCTGGCATAATGTAAACATAGAAAGTAAACAGAAGTAACCCCAACCACCAAAGACTTAGAGAGCCAAGGAGTTTAGGAGGCAGAAGCTGGATATGAGAGAGAAGGAATCATTATCTTCGCGCCTCACTAGACATTGTAAAAGGGTGTTACTCGTACAAACTTAACCCTCAGGAAGTCTCTGCTGATCTGAGAGATACAAACAAGCAAGTACTTAGGTTCAGGGTCATGAGTAGCCATGCAGTTGTACATGACTAATGTTAAGCGGATTATTTAAGCTGTCAGTTTATTTATAACACATTTGGTAAGAGTGTGTGATATTCAGTAGCGTATTGCCTATGACAGATACCATGAATCTCGGTAGTTATATTTCTTTGTTTAATCTCTAGATTATAGCTGAAAATAAACTCATGTATTTTTTATTATATAAATGTAGTAAGTGCAAAGCTGCAGTATTTCAAGCTTTTTTCACATTTCAGCACATACTAGTAACGAATGTATCTCAGATACATGTGACCTCTACTGTTAATTTTTTTGTCCTCAACCTCCCAAGAATAAGACTTAGCACTTGCTGCTCCTGACAAACATACACGTACTGGCTAAACAGACCCGGCTCTCCCAGGGCACCCATGGAGGGAGCTGCGGGAAAATGGCAACATGTTTAAAACACTTGCTGGGGGCTGTGGTGGGGCAAAGTAAAAATGGACACAGCTGTGTGACAGATAAGGGCAATGCAATGTTGAATACTGATAAATCACCTACTGTAATCATGGCAAGCATGAGACAGAGAGAGGAGTTTCTAGACTTCCCCATCACCTACCCTGAATTCAGCCTGTGAAGAAACTGTCACTCGCTATGGACTGCTTCACAGGCCAGTGCCAGCACCTCACACCTGGCACCTCACCTGGTGTTCTGGACAAGCTCAGGAGATGGGCAGATGGGTGTTGTTTCCATCTCCTCTTACAGACTGAGAGATGCAGGCCCAGGGTGTCAGGTGGGCCGGCAGGGTCTCTGACTCTGTGCACTTTCCTGGAGTTGTCTGAACATGTGGGCTCCTTGTCTCTCTAACACTGACCAAGAATAGATACACTATACCCCGTGCCCAGGGCCAGGAACTAGGCTGAGGAAGCTTCCTTGGTGTGGCTTGAACTCGGCTCCCCCAGCCTTGGTCTCACATTTACAGCTACAGTGGGTGAAACGAGTGTGCAGGGCTGCTTCTGGCCACGCAGATCCCATGCACAGTGCTGTGGGCCCTAGGAGAGAGATATTCCTGGGGACCCAAGAAACATGGCTCTCCAAGAAGGTGAGGCCACTTTTGAATTGGGGCGAGCTGAAGTGGTGGTAGCCACTGACTCTAAAACTGGGGCCTTTCTCTTCCAACCAAAAATTCAGAGATGCCCCAGGTTTGTTCTCAGGCCTTCCTGAGCAGGCATCAAGGAGCTGGGGCCTCATTTGGAGAGGCTGAGTGCTTCCTGAGCGGCTGAAGCCCCCCTTTGTTTTCCCCTCCCCCTCCTGTCCCCTCTCCTCTCAAGAGACCAACTAGCCCACCTCTAGGATGTTTCCCATGAAGCAATTTCACAGAATGTCCACCTGGGAGACTCCTACAGATTTTTGCAGTAAAGGAACCACTTTCTGGTCATTTGGGCAGGGTGGGGGGATGTCTCCCTCATTTAGTGACCAATTCAGGCCCCAGCTATTAGCATTTGAATCAAGCAGCCCAGCTGTTTTGATGGAAAGGAGAAGCCTGGCCTTTGTTGTTGCAATTTAAGGGCTTTAGTAACTCTCTGGCCTCCTTTCATCAGGCCCAGTGGCTGGGGGACCTGCAAGGTAGAGGGAAATCAAGTTGTGGCCTCCACATGCAAATGGCCCTACTCCTGAGGCTCCCACGAAGAGGCCCTGACACTAGATAGTTAGGTGGGATCTGGGTGCCTCCCCAAACCAGCTCTCCTTTGGCTCAGAATTTCCTAGACTACCTTCAAAATAGTCTTTATTTAGGTTAAGTCAGTCCAACTAATTATGGAAACACAGCAAGACAGGATGGAAGTACTCATGGTCCACGTTTTTCCTCCATCAGCTGGTCCATATTTCCTACACACCAAGGAGCCTGAAAGTGGGCCAATCTGTGGCCCATCCAAGGGTACTCTCCAAATAGCATAGTAGTTACTTCACAGTGGAGTCAAGGCCCCCTGGGAGGGTACGGAGTTATTTGAAGTAGTTGGTAATAACTTAAACGTGTAGGAGATAGTCCACTCACTTTTGTAATTAAAAACTGCAAACTTTTAAATTTAAAAAGATGGGAGGTCAAGTTTTTGAAAATCCGTGGTTTGCTTTTTTTTTTTCCTGTAGTTGCATTACATTTTCACAGAGACATAAATATTTAGGATTCCTAAAAATGCATATGGCTAAAGAAAATACATTTGAAAAGAAAAGTCTTTGGAAAAATTGCTGTGCCTGCAGCCAACTCAGAGTTCATTTCACACATAGATCCTGGGGCAATGGTCCAAACCTGACATGGTCCCTTCTAGCAGGCCAGGGCCCCAGCTCCGGGGCAAAGGCAAGGTGGTGGGCTAAAGGAGGGTCTGGGAAACACCAGGGCCCCTGTGCACCTGTGAGCCCCAAGGCTTCAGCTCCCTGCTGAAGAGGGAGGCACTGCTCCTGGGCACATGCAGAGATGCAAGTGGGGACAGGACAGTTGTTCATGACTTTAGAACATCTCCACCAACATCCGCACCCACCGACCACGTTTCCTGTGCTCTTCTAACTCAAATGTCTGCTGCTTCCCTGGAACCCTCAGAGTGGCTTTGAGCTGCTCCTCTCACTTCTCCCTCCTCTTCTCTGCCCACCTGCCACCTCCAGGATACCTCCTTTCTTACCCATCCTGCATGAGCTGTTTCGCTGTTGCTGTTTTCGTTTTTTTTTTCCCCCCCCTTTTTTTTGGTACCAGGGATTGATTCTAGGATTTTCATGGTGAGCTACATCATCAGCCCTTTTTATTTTTTATTTTGAGACAGTCTCCCCAAGTTTTTAAATTGCCCAGTCTGCTTCAGCTTTCCAGACTGCTGGCATTACAGTTGTGCATCACCACGCCTAGCTCCTTCCTTGAGCTGCCTTCCCCAGCCTCTAAGGTGGGAAGTGCCTCAAAGGCAGGAACCTCATCTCCTAATTAGTGTGTGTCCTCTCACAGGCCTGAGTACTTCTCTAAAGAAAGCAATTTGTCAAACAGCTGTTTCCGAAGTTGATAAAAGACTTCGTGTTTGCTTCTGCCTCAGTGTTTGCTGTGTCATGTGTACAAAGACAAATGGCACCTGTCCTGTCCCAGCTGGAGAGGGATCAGCCTGGCTTGCTGCTCCTTTGTCTCAGGCTGCCCCCCCCCCCACTCTGTCCAGGGCCCCAGATTTGGCTGTCAGGCTCAGCTGAGTTCTAGGTGGCTGGTGGGGGCCCTCCCTGTGCTCCTTTGCCTCAGAAGTAGAAGGGAAGGAAGATTGTCCCCAGGGGCCTTGCCCACATTCCCCTGGGCAGCTGGCAAACACTGGGCTCTAGAGCCCATGACCCCCAAACCACAGCAGCACTGACATAATCCCTCTATGTTCTCAAAACACTGTTGTGAGACAAACAGGGAAAGATGTTACTTCCGCCAGCATTAGCAGAGGGACTTTCTTGAGATTGAGGCCAGGAAGGCCACATTGACCTGCAACAGGGCCAGTAGTAACCCAGTGTCCCCTGGGCTCCAGGTTGGCCTGAGAAAATTCCTTATCAGACACACACATTATCGTGGCCTCTGTCCCCAGGATAGAAGTGAAGTGTCACTGTGTGCCCAATGTCATGTCTTTACTCCCACTGAGAGGTAAGAGTCTCTGAATGCTGGAATGCTTTCGCCCTGTAATTGTGTCCCTAAGGTATGTATGTTTGCCACACTTAGCCTTGCCAGTGACTATTGTCAGTGAGATTCCAAACAGGCTCAGCACCGCCAGTGAAGTGCATTCATGGTCATGCGTAATGGTCAGAGGAGAGGAAAGCCCAGTCTCTAGCTCTAACCCTGGGTGGTTCCAAATGGCCCATCTGTAACTGCAGGCTATCGGAGTGCTGGCGTGCCTTGTCACTGTCATGTCACTATGGCCCCTTCAGGGATGAGCTGCAGCCCCTGGAACAGCAGCCACTGTGTACTCAAGGGGCGCCGGGCCTCACGGCTGTCTCTGTGTTTGCTTTTCTCTGTTTGGTGCCACCCGAGCAGGCTGCTGGAGAAGGACGGCCGCTTCGCAGACATGTACACCGAGGGCAGAGCTGGAGGTCTGGTCAGTGTCCTGTTGGTCCAGAGGCAGCGAAGTGACTCTGTCCTGCCCTGGACAGATGAGGGCAACTAAGGGAAGTCTAGGGGAGCTGGGATGGGACTCTCGCTGTCTCTGCACTGCACACATCAGACTTGATCCTTGGAGTTCTTAATGCTGCAGGAAGCTATCAGTAGGCAGCAACTATTGTTAGGTAAGGGTGATGATCCCGTGCATCTGTGTTGAGCTATAATTCAGGATCTTGCTGTAGTGATGAGCAAAGGATAGAGAGGTCCAGTGGGTTGTACTGAAATTAAAAATTGTCTCAGTTATTTTTCTCCTTGCTGAGACAAACTACCTGACTCCCAAAGTTAAAAGGGGAAAGGCTTATTTAGCTCACAGTTTGTAAAGGTTCAGTCCATAGTTCAGTCCATTGGCTCCAAGGCAGGGTGGCACATGGCGGTGGAAGACCACAAAAGCAAGAGACCTTACCCTCTTTTCTGTGCCTTTTATATTGTATCTACACTGCTGGGATTAGGGCAGTGCCAAACCAATCAGTGGACTGACTTAGCAATCACACCTTTAACTGTAGCACCACACACTCTGGATTCAGCCACTTCCATAAAAGCCTAAGACTGCATGAGGCTTTGGGGAGGACATCTAGACACAAACCATAACAAAAATCTAATCTTGAGTCAAATTTAAAAATAGAATAAAACCCAAGTGACCCCTCTCCCTCTCTTTGGCCACCCTTGCTGCTCTTATCCTTGTCCCTACTTTCAATGGGTGAGCTGGGGGTTGGCCTTGGGCAGTGCACCAGGGATCTGAACGGTATTTCTTGGCAACGAGGACCTCTCTTCTAGAATAGGTGTGTTAGGTAATGAAACATTCTAAGTATGAATGAATTAACATTTTAATAATCTCTGCTTACCCAAATTTCCCAAATTCTGTTTTAAATATTATTTCTCATGTTTAGAATGTAATGAAAACAACAAAACATTGAAAGTATTCTTGCTTCTCAAAGATGGATTACATGGTCCCCAGTGAACACACAGAGTGGGAAGAAGTCATGCCCAGGGAGACAGAGACAGGAGACCCACTGCCTACCAACCAGCAGCCTCGGACCCAGCTTGCCCTCACCTTCTTGAAAAGCTGTAGCTCAGGATGTACAAGGAGAGATTCTCCTCCTAAGAAGGGAGGGCACCGAGTGGCCCTGCATGGCATGTGAGTAGTCAACTCCCCAAAAGATAACCATGAATGATGTAGTATTTTTATATGATGGAGTACTACTCAGCTATAAAGACACATAAACTCAAGGCTTTTATAGGTAAATGGATGCAGCTAGAGACCGTACTCATTAGTGAAATAAATCAGACTTGCATGTGTAAACATCGTATCATCTCTCTAGTGTAAGAACCTGAAAGAGTAAATAAAATACAAAAGGTACAATAGGTATTGTGAAAGGGAAAGAACTACTCAAAAGGAAAGAATGACATGTATGGGGGAAAGGAGAAAAGAAGGAAGGAATATATATATATATATATATATATATGTATATATATATATGTTGTACATAATATATTATACATTTTATATTATATATATATGATAACTAAGATAAATGTGCTACTGCTTTCTATTAGTTCATTGAAAGGAACAGTTAGTGTTATATTGTTTGATCAATCTTATATGCCTATATCTGGTGATCTATGCAACTACTTAAAAAAGATAACAATGTGCAATATAATAACCATTGTTAATGTCCTGTCATCTCGTTTTGAAATTCTGTATGATTTTTACTGTTTTTTTATTCCCTTTAAAATTAAAAAACAGAACCATAAATGCAAAATGCAAATCAACAACAACAAAGACACTGAGGCATTCAAGAGGAATTTGACAGTGGAGGGGTAAATAGAATCAAGAATTTAGAAACCCGAGTTTAGGATTGTCCGCAGGGTCCTGCTGTAGGTCTCTGCCAGTCCCGTAGCACTGTCTCCAGGGAGCCTTCCTAGTTCCCGAGGGGGCCAGGTACCCAGCTCTATGGTTCTCCAGCTTCAGCCTTTGCTTCCCAGAGCATGTAAGTGGCAACCTATCGTCTCCTGCCTCCTGCCTCGTGCCTCCTACCAGCCTCGCAGTGATGTGGGACCTGTGAAGTCGGGATTGTGTGACCCCTCAGGCCTCGCCTGCCTCTAGAGCATTCACTGGTGCACAGCAGAGTACAGTTTCCCTGGCAAGAGGGGACCAGTGAGCTCCTGTTGGTCGCCTCTGCGAGGCCAAACAGTCACTCGTGGCTAACACAGCTGGGTGAGCCCTGCTTTCCCTCACTGTCACGTGCTCAGGCTGCGGGCCACAGCTTTTTCATGTGCCCAGTGAGCACAGTGCCACCTCTGGAGCTGTGGGCGGCTCTGCTCGGTCATTTAAACAAGGCAGCGCTGCCCATGGCAGGAGCGCTGGGAGTGCTGGGTTCTGGGCACAGGACGCTCTGCCCTCTCAGGTAGCAAGTCCAGCACATATACCTTCCTGGGTTTGCCACAGTGCTACACTGGCTCTGTGAGAACCCAGAGCCTCACTAGGAGCCAGAAACTTGTGTAAGGCAGCAAAACACAGGGAACCTCAGTTTAGGATTGACTCAGATACAGGATACCAAAAATGACCAAAAGCTGTGTAATTTGGTGAGCCTGCCTCCAACCAGGGAAAATCCAACTGCAGACTGTCCTCTGACAGACAATGCTTTCGGAGTGAAGCTAGGGCAGACACTGATAACTATAGTACAATCTGAGGAGGCTCGGTAAAGCCTTCAAACAAGACACTGGTGGTGAGGCTTTTATTAATTAGGTATTTTGTTTTGGTTTGTTTTGACTGTTTTTGAGACACGGTCTCACTGTTCAGTTCAGGCTGGCCTTGAATTCATTATGTAGCCCTGGTGATCCTCCTGCCTCAGTCTCCCCAGTGCTGGGATTACAGGTGTGTACCACCACACTCGGCCCATTGGTTACTTTGATGCCCTACCAACATCTGCTTTTCTTTTTTGAGTTCTTTCCAGATTGTGTGAAATGAAGAGCGTTAATATTTTGACTGAAGAACTTTGTACCTTAAAGTGTAGCAGTCATGCTCTCTGATCAGAAAGATGTAGCTTACCCCAGGAAAATGTTATTAGAAAGCTCAGGAGACACACTGTGCAGCCCCCACCCCCATGCAGGCAAGGACTGGTGAGGGGCTGGAGTCTGTCTCCTTTCCAGAGCAACCCTGATCTGAATCTGACCCTCTGAAGTGACCTAGATGCTGTTCTTCTTGGCACTGTGTGTAGCTCCATAACTGAGGAAGGACAGGATTGTTTGATTCCTTTACCTAATTTTTACACAAGAAGTTGGCCTTTAGTTCCTGTCTCCAGGTTAGTCCCACATTTCATCCACTTATGATGTGATTTTTAAGTAAGTCACAAGGCAGATTCTGTCTGTCTGTCGGTCTGTCTGTCTATCTATTTATCTATCATCTATATCTTTGCCACACATGTGTGTGCAGACACAGAGGCAGAGAAATACACACACACACACACACACACACACACACACACACATCCTTGCCAATAGTGATTTGTTAATTAGTTTTGGAAAAGATAAGTGTGTCTTGCCAGAAGCAGATTTGTCTTATTTAGCCAGGATCTGTAACATTCAAAACACCTCTAAAACAGAAATTGTTAGATACAAAATACTAATTCAAATTTTATCTGCTTTATTTCCCAAATCCTGGAGAATATTTCCATTATTTCTCCCATGGTAGAAATTTCCAATTTGAACTAAAATGGGTGGATTCAAATAGTGAGGAAGAAGGTAGGGGCAGCAGTAAATGTGGATGTGTACTTTGTGCAAAATTTACGAGGAAAAGTCTTCAGCGGGCCTGGAAATACGCTGGCAGACTTACAGTAGATTGAAACACTTAAAATTCATAAGCTTGGGAAGGTGCAAACTGCTTAAAATGTATTCTGCATGATAAAGTACATCTGGGAGGAGATTTATAGTATTTTTGAAAATTAGATTCTTACAGGAGTCTGTGATTCAAAAAAATGTTATGAAGTAAGCATGAGGTGGGAAAAACCTTATATTTTCAGAAAAAAGTATGCATTGATATTGATGTCACTTTGAGTTTAAATTATTATAGAAAAAGAATTTAAAAACAACCTTTAAAGGAAATATTTCCTCTCTTCCCTTAGGCTTACACTTTCCAAGCACTTGAGGAGTGAACCCGATCGTCCCAGGATGACTGCAGCTCCTGACGTCCCCGCACCCCTGACCTTGGAGCACATGACCCTGACCCATCGTGTTGTGGTAGGCTTCTGCCCCGTCTCAACTGGGGTGGAGGCTGCTGAATGAAATCAAAGGACATATGGGAGCAGGAGTCAGGGGACAGGAGATGCTGGAAGATGGGGGCGTGGCCAGGGCAGGTGCACTGTTTCCCAGGATGTCACATGAGCCATCAGCTCAGAGGTGGGAGTATAGGAATTCTAGGGGTAATGGCAGGAGTTTGGAAGGGATGAATTGTTTCCAAGCTTCCTGGTGAGCAGGTACAAATGGCTAGAGGTTAGTGTTAAAAGAGATAGTGGGTGGTACATCCCTCTGTGTGTGTGTGTGTGTGTGTGTGTGTGTGTGTGTATTGTTATATTTGTTCTAGGAGGCTAAGACAGGAAGCCGATACTGGATTAACTATGTGGATGAAGAATAAGGCTGCAGTATAATTACTACATGGAAAGGATGAAGACATGTTGATGCTCCCCAACAAATGAGGAAATGGCAACTTTTAAAAAATTCAGAGTCATGATAAACAATGCCATGAAGTGAATCAGTGGATACTTAAGTGCTTCAATAATATCTTCCTTATAAATGTAAAAACTTCATTTGGGATCCTAGAACCATGAACAGCAAGCAGAAGTGGGTGACAGCAAAACAAGACTTCATAGCCAGATAATGGAGATTATAGACACAGAAAACGGAATACACAAGATTAACATGGCGAAATGAACTTTATAATGAAGTTTTAAATTATGAATAAGGAACAGAAGGCTTGGGAAATGAATTGAGAGTGTTTGCAAAAGAGTGAGATAGAAACTGTAGAGTGGAAAAACTTAATATGTGAAAATAAATATTCAGTGAGTGGGTTGAAAGTAAACTAGGGAGGATAGAACCTGTGAATTAGAGAGGTCTCAAAATGAGACCTGAAGGCCAGTGTGGAGAAACAAAGTGATGGGATCCATGGGGAGGGAGCTGAGAGACCCGAAGGCCAGAGTGGACCATCCGTCCAGAGTGCACTCACAGCGCGCAGCAACAGCAGAGAGGATGTGGAGGAGCAAAAGAAGAATTTTCTGAATTTATGGAAGACACCAATCCTCAGCTCTAGGGAGACCAGAGAATCAGTAATACAATGAGTAGAAAGAATAGTACTAAATATGAAGGGATTTCTTCAGGCCAAAGAGACAGAACACTCACAAAGAAATAAACCCAGAAATCCAGATGACACCACAGCAGGCGCCATGGCAAGTCCTGGAGAGTTGCATTAGAAAGACGAAAGGGAAAGGCTAAGCAGTCTTCTGTTCGATAAATCAAATCCAAAAGTAAAGACCTTCCCACAAAGAAAATTTGAGGCCCATATGGTTTGACTGGCAACTTCTTCAAATACTTGAGGAAGAAATAATGCCATGATTTATACTTAAACTCTCAGAAAAATAGGAAAAAAAGGCCATGTCCTCCAACTTTTTTTCTATGAAGACAGCATAACCTTGATATCAAAACCCAAGCAGGGACTTTTATTACAGTGAAGAACAATCAGAGCAGTCGCTCAGCAACATACTTGTAAAACTCTTAACAAAAGGATTAGCAAAGTGAACCCAGTAATATCTAGATTCATTTCAATAACTTCTACTCAAAGGAAAAATAATAGCAGATTATAAATAAAGAGGGGAATTATTTAATCTGATAATGTACATAAATGTAAATGTAAAATATAATACACTTAGTGGTGAAATATTTAACCCTTTTCTTTTGAGGATGGGAATAACACAAGGATGACCATCTTTTCCATCTCTACTCCATATTTTCCTGGGAGTTTGATCCAGGTAATAAGCAAGACAAATTTATGAAAGCTATGAAGTTTGCAAAAGAAGACAGAAAACTGACTTTTAAATGGAAAAATCTTGAAGGATCTACAGATTAATTATTGGGGTGAGTGAGCTTAGGCAAATTACTGGAAAAGAAGTGAAGGTGCAAAAATTAACTATATTTATCTATACCAGAAAAATGGATTAATTTAAAAAATTTAACAAAAGACACCATTTAGATCAATATTAAAACCATCAAATACATAGCAAAGATTCTAAGTGTTCTGAAATTGTGCACTTGGAAAATTATATAACATTTTTTGGGAAAGTTTTTTTGGAGGAGAAACTGAATAAATGAAGATATATATGTTTGTGGATTGGAAAACGATATAATAAAGATTTTGATTTTCATAAAATGATGATTTCATGTAATTCCAATCAATAGCCAACAGTTTCATTTTAGTTGAAAAGTGATAAATTAATTCTAACACAAAAATGGAAAGTTTCAAGGAAGTAAAAATACTTTCTCTCTTGAGGACTTTGAGTGAATAGTACTATGTGTTATGAGAATGCCATAGCAATAAGTATGGAATAGGGGGAAAACTCCACAGAACACAGAAAAAGCCCTGCTTACACACACTGAATTTACAGCAGAGGTGATGCTGCAGAGCAGCGGGGAAAAGACGTCTCTTCAGTACCTGTTCCTGGAACAAAAGTAAAAATTGGATGGAAAAATATACAAATTGATTAAAAATAAATTGTAGATCTAAATGTTAAAAACACAATGAGAGGGCGCCTAGAATACAAGAATAGAATCTAGGAAATAACTTTACATTGCCAAGGAGGAAACATTTCATAACAGGGCACAAACAGCATTTGAAATCCAAAGCAAAAATAAAGAGCAAAAAGAAAAGTAGATAATATGAAGTAAAGAGATAGATCTTTCTCAAAGGGGGGGGGGATCAAGAGATGGAGGGAGGGGGGTAAGGAAGAAAAAAAGAGTTAGGGTGTTATGTACATATACCAACTTCCCACGAGGAATGTACTACACACATGTCCTAATATAATAAAATTTTAAAAGTTAGTTAGACTAAATTAAAAGCTATTTTATTTTGGTCAAAAAGACACCCACGAGTTAATTGAAAGCCAAGACACAAAGTAAGATAAAATATTTATAACACTTGTACTGGCAACAGGCTTGTAGCCAAAAAATATAAAGAACTCTTAAAAAGAAATAATATGAAAACAGATAATTCCATAAAGAAAGAAAGTTTGATCAGGAAATTCAAGAAAAATGATAAACAAATGGCCAGTGTGCTGTGTTAGTGGTCAAAACTGCAAATTAAAATCAAAGTGACATCACCATACTGAGCAGAATAAGTAAAATGAAAAAAGACAACACCAAGTTCAACAAAAGGTATAGAGCAAGGTATATTTTGGGAAGCACTTCATTATCGTCTATACTTGGACTCATGAACCCTTGTGACTCTGATTCTGCTAGATATAACCCTAGCAAACTTTTCATATACACTGAGAAAAAAGCATCATAGTAGTGCTATTTATAACTGCCTCAAACTAGAAATAACCTAAATATACATTAACAGTAGAACAAAAAATATGTTGTGAAAAAGTTAAGCAATGAAATTCTATGAAACAGTCAAAGTGAACAAACTTGCTACATGTAACAACTCCAGTGACACCCCGAGACCTTATAGTCATAGTGCCGAGTAGGATGACTTGGACCCTAAGAAATGAAACCTATAATCTTATACAAAGTTCAAAGAGAGGCAAATTTAGGCTACTTTGCTTATGGATGTAACTTGCCTAGTTAAGGAATATAGCCAAGCAAAGAAGTAATTCTAAGCTCCCTGAAAATGGTTAATTTCAAAGAGTTAACTTTACAAGAGTTAACTTTTAAACAGGGGAAAATGGTTAACCACATCAGTGTGCGGTTGGGAAGGGAACTTCTGGGGCGTTGGAAATGGGCTATTTCTTGATCTGGTTGGTGGTTACTTCTAACATGTAAGGAGAGTTCTTAAAAAGTGTTCAGACAGAACTGATAAACCAGCCATGGTGGCACACACCTGTAATCCCAGAACTCTGGGAGGCTGAGGGGTAACTTAGCAAATTAGCGAGACCTGTCTCAAAATAAAGAATAATAAAATGGGTGGGGATGGAGCTCAGTGTGAAGGTCCTGGATTCAACCTACAGTACCAAGAAAAAAAAAATTAAAAATATATCACTTACGATAGCAATAAAAATAAATTTTGGAAAAAGCTGTGCAAACTAACCCCCTCACGGAGAAACTTATAAGACAAAGAGATATCTTAAAATATCCACATAAATAGAGGCATAATGCTCATGGTAATACTGTACACTTAATATTTCTCCCAAGAGTGGCTTTAGATTTAATAGAGTTTTAATGATATTTCACAGGACTTGAAAGTTGTTAAGTTTATAGAGAAAAACAGGTTGTAACAGATAATACACACTGGAAACAGAGAATAGCCAGGGATAGGGACTGTCCTGCAAAACCTCAGTCCCAATTTAAAGCTGTCTAATAAAGTACTGCTTTACTGATGGAGCAGTAGATAAACACAGCAAAGGATTAGAATAAAGAATTTGGGTACTGATAGCTGCAAATCAAAGGCATACTAGAAATCCGGTTTATGGCAGGTTGATTGCCAATCTTTGGTGAAACAATGATTCAATAAAGGATGTTTGGATGTTGGTTTTGCACACAGAATTAGGATCTTCATCTCACTGTATGCATGGGAATCAGTTCCAGATAGACTCCAGCTCTGCATGTAGAAGGCAGAAGTAGACAAATGTAAGGGGTGGGGAGACTGGTTTAGGGAGAGGAAACGATGAGACAGATCTTTTGTGAATGGGAAGGAGACCAAGGGACAGGAGGAAGGAAAAGGAGGGAAAAGGAAATAAAGCGAATAATGATGTGTTACGTGCATGTACTACAGTGAATGTAACCATTAGGTACTGCAAACATGTAGTAATACAAATAACAATTTAAACACCAAAAAGCTCCCAAAGGCACATGCAGCTTAAGTAGAAAGGAAAACTGTAATAAATTTGACTGTATTTAAAATGGGAAATCTGTGTTCACAATAGGACATCATCAGTGAAGTGAAAAGAGTCACTAAGTAGGACAATGTTTTGCTGTTTGGAAAGCAGATAAATGATCAGCATCAGCGTTTTAAAAAACTCCTGTAACTGAATTTTTTTTACAGAGTCAATAAGACTCTCAAAAAGATTTCCTTTGCTAATCAAGATAAGGCAATTTAAATCCATGATATTCTTTTCATACTCATAAGATTAGAAACAATTTTAAATCTGACAGTATCAAGAGTTGGCCAGGATGGACAGAGGAAGCTTTCTTGCTGTTGGTGTGATGTAAAATTGGTGCCATTTCCTTGGAAAACAATGTAGCATGTTCTAAAACTACTAAAGATAACTACTACCCGGAAGTTCCCCTATGGGATAAACTCACCTGTTGGAAACTGCACATGACCATCAACAGATGGAATAATTTTCCCATGGATTTATGACACAAATAGCAAAGTTAGACACTGAATAGATTTAAAATGACATGAAGGATTATTTCTAGGTATGGTGACATGGTATGTATTATGGTTATGCTTAACCAAAAAGAATTTATCTTCTTGAGTTGCACACTATAGTGTTTCCTTTATGAATGTCTAGAATTCACTTCAACATGATCTGAAGTTGGGGATCCCTGGGATGTGGGATTGCTGGGGTATAGGATGGGATGGATCCTGGGGTATGGGATGGGGTATGGGATGGGTGAAAATGGTCAACAATTTTCTTTTTCTTTTTCTTTTATTTTTTGTCTTTTTGAGACATGGATTCACTATGCATTTCAGGCTGGCCTTGAGCTCACTTTGTAGCCCAGGCTGGTCTCGAACTCACAAAGATCCTCCTGCCTCAGCCTCCCGAGTGCTGGGATTACAGGCGGGTGCCACCACACCCGGCCGGTCAACAATTTTCTGTTGTTGAAACCAGGTCCAGGGCCCACGAGGGCCCATTCTGCTAGACCCTACGCATCTTTGGAGCCCCTCCATCACCTCAGTTCTCATCTGACCACCGCTTTGTCGGGGAAGCTGGACGTGTGACATGGTGGCCCTTGGGTTCAGATGGTGAGGACCTTTCCTGTTGGTGTACTGACCTGACCTGTCTCAGCCCAATTCTTGTCCTTGCTGTGTGCTTTTTGTGGATTCATTAAGTCATGTGACTTGAACAGTTTAATTTGGTCTTTGCCCCACTTCTGTTCGTGAGCTGTATAGTTTGTATCTGGATGTCCCCCCAAAGCCTTGTGCGATCATGAGAGTGCAGGCTTTTAGGAGGCAGCTGAATCTAGAGTTTGTGATTGGTTCATTGTCTAGTGCTGGGATTGAGGGTGTGAGTGCTACACCTGCCCAAGTGGTAACCTGCAAACAATGTAAGGGAGGAAAAGGGACTTGCTTGTCCCTTTTTGCTCTTGCTGCTTTTGCTGTCTTCTGCTGCCATGAACCACTGCCCCTCTGCTATGCCATCTTGCCTTGGGGCAGCCAATTATGGACTGAAGCCTCTGCAAACTGTGAGCTAAATAAACCTTTCCCCTTTAACTTCGGGTATGGGGTATTTTGTCTCAGCAATGAGAGAAAAGGGATATAGTCACAGTGACTTCATAGGGTACACTGGGAATTGGAGCAGGATGATGGACTTGGACTTCAGCATTATTTGCCTTTTGCTTTTCTTTCTAATTGCCATATCTGTGGTTGTAACCCAGTATCTCCGACTACACTGAAAGTGGCTCAAGGCTCTAGGCTTCCGTGTTGTCATCACCTTTCAGATTACAACCTTTTCACAGGTTCCAAGAGGAGTTAAGTCAACCAGTGCCCTGCTGCACCTTTCCCAACCTCCTCGGGTCAGATTGATTTTATGTAGCTCATTGTGTGAATATGGCAGGGGGAGGAGGAAAAATACATTTATTTTCAATGTCTATGGATTTAACTTAGTCTGGT